CCAGAAGAGCTTGCACCAACACAGCTGCACAAAGTTGTACAGAAAGAGAATTTATTGAGGAGGCAGATACATGTTCAGAATCGCCCTTGATAAGTTGTGCATCTACTGCAGAGATTCCAGCTCGAGTTAGTGATTCCCAGGTAAACATCCAATGGAGCTGGTGGTGCCATTCCTACCAAAGAGACGTCCCTCTTTGGTGGGGAAGGAAGAAGGATTCAGGCCCATCAGCCCATCTGGATAGTTGGAATGTTCTTCCTCCCCAATCCGGAGGATGCTACAAGAGAATATTGACCAGGGGGGACTAGGTCATAAGCTGCCTGCTGACTGATTCTAAGCAGGCTCATGACACTTGAAACATCAGAACTCCACTAGCCTGCACTCTTGCCCAAGGCTACAAGAGAACCACGCTAACTGGTTGAGTGACCCAAAGCAATCTGTGTTCCCACAGCCGCGTCCCTCTGGGCACAGGCTGCGGGAAGCTGCTGCCAGCCAGGAGACGTCCCTGGGTGCCTCTGAGGTGTGAAAGTGGAGAAGGAAGAAGGACTCGGGCATCTTCCATTCCTGGGGCCACCTTCACCCCAGGGATTCCACGGGGTTGCCTAGCACGAGGTGACATCACAACAGGCCCCCCTGTGACAACAGCCCCTGCCCTCCTCTTAGCACCTGTGTCCCCCCAGCTCAGATCACTTGCTGTGGTGAGGAGGAGGAGGAAGGCTGCAGGCTGTCCACCCCTCTCACTCAGTTTGGTTTCCCAAAGCCGGAAAGGTTCCCGTCCTGCCCAGGACTGGATCTGTGTCTGCGCTCAGGGAAGCAGTTGGTGCGTTTCTTGTGCCTGGTCCAGCTGCGGCGCCGCTTCTTGGCCTCGCTCGAGTTGGGCATTGCCAGCAGCACCAGGTCAGCTCTGTGGCCACGGAGATGGGGCAGAGCAACCGCAAGATGAAAGTTTTCAGGAAGATCGTCCCCAAGGTAGAGGCTCTGGCCGGTCCTCTGGGGGCTCCCCTGCCCGAGCCCCTCCTGCGGGCTCTGCGCTGCCCGTGCCTGCCCTTCCACCATGGGCTGGCTTAGGCCTGAGCTCCCGGCGGCACCCGGGGCTTCCCGCGGGAAAGGGATGGAGCTGTGGGCAGGAAGAGCTGAGGCCAAAAGGCTGCTCTGCTTGCTCGGGCTGCTCCCCGCGGCGCCATCCTCAGCAGGGGGTGCTGGGTCCCATCCAGCCCCCGGGGCCCCGGGCTCTGCCAGCCGCAGGCTCAGCACCCCTGGGCCTCCGCCCCACCGCCCTCCATCCCTGCCTTCCCCACTGCTGAGCTCCAGCCAGGCCCTCCCCTGGGGCTCACTCTGTGCACCCTCCTCTCCCAGGGCAAGGTGTCCCCGCGTCTCCAGCGGGACAGCAGGAGGACGGCGGCAGCGCCTGCCTCCTGGGAAGAGAGCTCTCCATGTGTCCCGGAGGCGTTGGCCTTGGTGAGCTGCTGCCAGCGCTGCCGGGAGGGAGCTGGGCCCTCAGCCCCTGCCGGCCCCTGTCTCTCTTGCCTGGCCACCCCC